TTGGTCATTACAGACTCAGGGAATTTTCATCAAACAAAGAAACCTGATAAAATGTAAGCATAACATGCAGGGATTAGTGCACTCCTGGGTGACTTTGTCACAAGAGTAGGAATTTTAAGAGACTTCATAAGAATTAATATGCTCCACATGAAATTTATTTTAGCTTCTGGCTTTTCTTTCCAGGAGGCAAATCAGTGCAGTTTCTTCTGCCTTTGTTTCAATTCGGTAACAAACCTCAATTTTCAGAGGGGCTTCACCTAGCTGCCCCATCACACACAGAGGTGGCTACATTTTCTACAAGTGGGGAGATGGAAGGAAGCAAGGTTTTTTTTTTTTTTTTTTTTTTTTGTGGTACGCGGGCCTCTCACTGCTGTGGCCTCTCCCGTTGCAGAGCACAGGCTCCAGACGCGCAGGCTCAGCGGCCATGGCTCACGGGCCCGGCCGCTCCGCGGCATGTGGGATCCTCCTGGACCGGGGCACGAACCCGCGTCCCCTGCATCGGCAGGCGGACTCTCAACCACTGCGCCACCAGGGAAGCCCGGAAGCAAGGTTTTTGATAACTGCTATTCAAAACCAAGTCAACAGCTACCCAAGTGTAAGAATAACAGGTTGGATTGATTGAGCTGTCTCAGCAGTTGGAATCTCTGGAGGGCTGGTGATCATAGACCAGCTGCTTCGCTCTGCGCCCCCAGAGCACAGGGTAGCGTGGACCAGTAGAATCACTGACAGCCGAGGCTCAGCCCCTGTGAGCTTCCACACCCCGTGTGCCTCTGCGCCCTCTTCCAAACAAAGCAGAGGCATTTTCTTGTTTTATATTTATCCATCCATCCATCTATCCATCCATCCATCTATCCATCTATCCATCCATCTGATTTCTAATTGATAAGGACTTTTCAAAACACAATCACAACACCTTTAACATAACCAACAAAATCAATAATAGTTATGTAATATCATCTAAAACTCAGTCCATGTTCAATTTTCCTTGGTTATCTCAAAATGTCTTTCATAAAGTTTTGTTCAGATCCCAAATAATACCTACACGTTGCATTTGGTTAGTACCTCTCCTAAGTGTCTTTCAATCTAGAACAGTCGTGGGAATTTTTTGTCTTCATTTATCCTTTTGTTTTTTTAAAGTATTCATGTATTTATTGAATAGATAATGCTTGCAGAGTGGTAAAAAGTTTTTTTCCAAACTGTACTAAAAGGTACATAATGAAATATCCCTCAGTCTCCTCCCCCAGAAGCAGGTTACCAGTTTCATGTGTAATCCTCTAGAAATAGTCTCTACCTAGACAAGCATGCCTGTCCCCAGGCTGTAGCCTGGTAGATAAGAGTGCGGACATGAGTTCAAGTCTGTACTCTGCCACTTACTAAGTAAAAATCTTGGGCACATCGCCTCTGAGCCCCAGTTTTTTCCTCTGGTAAATAGAACTAATAATAGTACCTATCTCATGGCATTGCTGAGAGAATTAAATCAGATAAGTTAAGTACCTAAATAATTACTTGTTATTATATACATTCTCCTTTGGCTTTTACCCAAATGACAGAAGGAGGCATTTTTCTTTGTCTGATGTGTTTTTTTCATCTAACATCGCATTTTGATGATAATTCCATACCTGTTCTTAAAGATTTGCTTCATTGTTTGAAATCATTGACTTAATTCTACTGTATGGATGCCATACTGATAGACACGTAAGTTATTTCCAACCTTCTGTTTTTACCAAAAAAATGCTGCCATGAATACCCTTGTAATATTTTATTGGATTTATATGCAAAATATCCATAGGATAAACTCCTGGAAGTAAAATTGCTGAGCTAAAGGATATGTGCATTTTAATTCTTTATAGGTAGCGCCCAACTGCCCCAAAGGAAGCTGTACCAATTTACACTCCCAAGAAAAGTGCACAAGGATCTCCATTTCCCTACACCTTAGCTCACACAGGATATCACTAAACGTTTTAATCTTTGTAAATATGATTTGCGGAAAATGGTATCTCATAGATTTAGTGTGCATTTCTCTTATGGGAAGGTAAAAGAAATATAGCGCAAGTAAACCTCAGTAGTCAAATGACCGGCAGGGCACAAACAAATGACCTTGTCGGTACTCGTGGAGAGGATGTTCCCTAGCTGATAGCGCTAAGCATGTTTTATGCACGTCAGTAGGTAGTTAGTTATATCTAGCAGTGGTGAAGGGTTTGTTCTGAACCCTTCAACCGGGTTGCAACTCCTTCACCTGGTTGCTTTCTGACACGTGGTCAGGAGCACAGCGTTGTGGCCTTAGGACATGTATTTGCACAGCCGACCACTTCCTCCTTGAAACATTTTCTTCCCTTGGCTTCCTGCTGTCCAATCCATGGATTTGCTCCTAACTCACAAGCTCTCTTTCTCTCCTGGGCCCTTCTCTCCTCTAGCTACAGCTTCTCCACAGGTGATAGCCATTCCCTTGGCTTTAAATACGAGCTCCAGAACCAGGGTGAGGCCACAGAGGCACCTAGGTCATAAAAGTTAAGGAGACATTTACTCTTGGGCTTGTGCAAGGGCAGGCTTGGCCCCAGAGCGTGACTGTCTCCTTAAGTTTCCCTATTTGCTCTAGGTACCTTGCTTTCCTCACCCTAGTTTCACCTCCTTAAACACCTCCACCCTCTCCCTGGACCTGCAGACAAATCCTACTTGTCGTCTCTACTTGGATATCCGAAACACAGCTCAAACTTAAAATATCTAAAACAGAACTCTTGCATCACTTCCCCCTCCCCTGGCCAAACCTGCTCCTTCTACTTATCTGTCTCAATAGCATCACCATTTATTCAGTTACTCTAGTAGGAGTTATCCTCGATTTCTTTCTTTCAACAAGTTCTATCTTCCATCTCCACATCTGACAAGCTCTCACCACTTCTACTGCTACACCTTAGGCCAGGCCTCCATCTCTTATCACTGTAAATACCTGCCACCTCCCCACACCCCCCCCCCGTATCCCCCCTTCCCCCCCTGACCTCCCCCCCCCCCTCCCCCCCCCCCCCCCCCCCTCCCCCCTCTCCATCCCCTCCCCCTCCCCCTTCCCCCTCCCTTGTGTACTCATTACTCAGCAGGCAGAGCGATCTTTTCACATCCTGAAGTAGATTAGGTCACTCTCCTACTTAAAACCCTCTAGTGGGAAATAAGAGATACGGGAACATATGTGTATGTATGACTGATTCACTTCCTTATAAAGCAGAAACTAACACAACATTGTAAAGCAATTATACTCCAATAAAGATGTTAAAAAAAAAAACCTCTAGTGGCTTCCAAATGAATTCAGCCTAAAGGCAGACCACCCCCCCCACCCCCGCCACCACGGTCAACAGACCAGGATCTAGCAGGAACCGAGAATCTGATCCCAGCCTACAGAAACCCACTTCTTCCTCCACCTCATTCACCAGGAACCGCGGCCCACACCGGCACACCGCTGCCTCAGCTGCGTTCCCCTTCCCTGAAACGCTCTGCCCCAGACCTTTATACAGGCACTTCCTTCTCAACATTCAGGTGTCAGCTCAGGTGTCACCTTCCTGACCACCCCCATCCACTCATCCAGTCACTCAAAACCCCATCACCCTGTTTTCTTTCTCCACAGCATTATCACAATCTGAAAGTGTCTTGTTATCAGTGGGTAACAGCCGCTCAAAACTCAGGGGCTTGAAACAGAAATTTACCAGTTCAGCTGGGCAGCTCTTGATTGGGACTTTCCCTGTGGTCCTTAAACAGCAGCTGGGGTTGGAGTCCTCTGGAGGCTTTTCTGGGCTGGATGTCTAAGGTTCTTCCCTCCCTTGTCTGGTGACCCGGTGCTCCTCTGGGTGGCCTCCTTTTCCAGCAGAGAACTGGACTTCCTGCATGGCAGCTCAAGTCTCCAAGAGAAAAGAAGTGGAAATGGTTGGTCCTCTTATAAGCCAGGCCTGAAAGTGGCACAATGTATTTCTGCTGCCATATTCAAATGGTCAGAGCAGTCATAAGCCAGCCCAGGTTCAAGGGGACTGAGGAATAACTTCTACCTCTTAAAGCAGAAGTGACATGTTTGTAAAAGGAGGAAAGGAATTGATGGTGGCCTTCTTTGGCAATCAACTATCACATTCATTTGTTTACCTGTTATTTGTCTATCAACTCCCATTAGGTTATATATACTCCATGAGACAACAGGGACCTTGTCTATCTTATTTTATGGCTCTATTTCCAGCGCCTAGAACAATGTCTGGCACACAGTAGGTGCTCAATAAATAAAGTCTGGGAAACTAAAATGGACTAAACTAAACTTCTCCAGTTTGGTTTTTCCAGATTCACTGACGCTAAGCATGCTGACGACTCACCAGATAAGAGAAATCCTACATTTATAAAGTATTTCATCTCTTCTGCAAACAAGAAAAACTTGCCCTGAACGCAAAATCTAGAAATAGATTTGGCATGTTTTCTAAATGGAAAATATTTCTTGTATCACCAGAAATTATTTTCCCACAGCTTGTGCTACATCAAAATATTGAAGTTGACTGAAAATACCCCATTCTTTAATCTTGGTGTGGACAGGAAACAATTTTTGTTTTTGTATCAAAGGAAATATAGAAACCTCCTGACGTTTGAACTCCCCCAGTTCTGAAAATGTCATTACAAGTTAAGATAGACCTTTTTTTTTTAAAGACTAATGAGAAATGTCATTAAAAGTTTGGTCATCAAAATGTATAGATTTTGATTATAAAGCCAGCACTTGTTTATTTAAGTAATTACATATGAGCAAGGGCAAAAAAAAAAAAAATTCCCTCAAATCTTCCCCTTTGCTAGTTTTTACTGGTGAGTTCTATAAAATAATCCCATGTTTAAACCTTTTTGTAAATCCCTTGTAAATTAGTAAGTGAGAATGTATTCCTCTGAAGGATTTTAGTGATTTTTGAAGTTAAAAAAAAAGGATTTAATTTTTTAAAATTACACTTGCAGATGACCGCTGATGAAATTTCCTCTAATCTTTGTTTTATCTTCAGTTTTCCCAGATTTGCTCAAAGCCATCCCAGTGAGTATCCACGTCAATGTCATTCTTTTCTCCACGATCCTCATCGTTTTAACCCTGGTGGGGACGGCCTTCTTCATGTACAATGCTTTCGGCAAGCCCTTTGAAACCCTGCATGGTCCACTGGGGTTGTATCTCTTGAGCTTCATTTCCGGTGAGTACAGAATTCTATCTCTGAAGATAAATGCGCTTTTCAATGTGCAAAAGACAGAGCTACCCAAATGTAAAGTGACAGTACATACACGTGGATGTCCACGGTGGCACTATCTATGAGAGCAAAGAGTGGAGATAACTATACTTATCCAACAATAGGGAATTCAATAAATTCATTCTGTGATCTATTTGACTAGATGGCATTGAACTATATTTTTGAAGAAGATGAAATCAAAAGGACAAGTGCTTGTATCAAAAAGTTAAGTGAAAAAAGCCGTATATAAGATTTTATAAACATGAACCTAATTTGATTTTATAATAAATATAGAGAATATATACATATATTGTATATAGACTCTCCATATATATAGCCTCCATATAGATATACATAAATACACACACACACACACACATATATATATATATATATATATATATATATATATATATACACACACACGCACACATAGAGAGAGAGAGATAGAGAATGTATTCTGTTGGTAGTAGTTATCTCTGAGCAGTAAAATTATGGGTGATTTTCATTTTTTCTCATACTTTTTACTATTTCCAAACATTCAGTAATGTACATTTATTTATTCCTAATCAGAAGAATAAATAAAAGCCATGAAAAAAGAGTAAAGAGCCAGTGTTCCACCCACACATGAGTTGCCATATTCAGGCCTATAGGGTCTTTGTGTAGCCTAAGTAGGTGTATCTGGGCAAGGAGAAAACTCTAAACCCCAAAATTAGTTCATTAATAAACACGTCCTACTCAGTAACTAGGGCTGATGGGAAACAATATAAAACCCAGTCAGTGCCACAGGGTGCTTAGGATATATTTACAAGAAAGAGAAAGAGATGAGAAAGTCGAAAGTGTCTACATAGCTCACATGCACCATCCTTCAGTGGGAGGTCTCTGATTTCACCCCACTCCAAACTTGCAAACAAGACTTCCTGGGGCTATGCTTTGTCATAGCCCCAGGAAGCAAGTCATTGTATTAGTGATTTCATGGAGAGATGAGAGAGAATATAACTCACACCAGCAAACAGTGTATTGAAGATCCCTATCAGACTCTCTGCTTCTCTGCAGCTGCCCTTTGGCTGCCAGCCCCCAGGCCACCAGGCCCCTTCCCTCTCTTGACACCACTCCCTTCTCCCTGCACAATTCAACTCCAGCCACAAACTCTCAGAGCTCCCTCTCTATCAAACAAAGCCTTGTATTTAACGGGTGCTCCCTTGTCTTAGAAAGCAGTATATGAGCCTCTATTCATGATCACTTGAGCGCTTTGTTACTCAACCTGGGTTCTTGGGCTCCTTAATCAATAGAAATTGGTAAAATGCGGAATTCAGGCAAGGCTTTACTGGGACTCGTGCTGAAGCACAAGGGAGTAACACCAAGTAACAGGTGCCCTAGCTTGCTCGCTGAGGTGGGGGGAGCCGGTTCCTTAAATGGGGTGAGGGTGGGAGCAGATCGGTGGGTCAGGCTGGAGGGGTGACAGGTGGTCTGCTCACCCCCTCGGTGGTGCTGTGTGAAGGGATCCTGCGCAGTACCCCGCTTTTGTTCCCCGCAACTCAGAAGTGGCAGCTGCGCTCTGACCTTTTTGTATCTTATTGTTCATAATTTGCCCCACGTGCACATGCGTGCAGTGATTTTTAGTCCCTTGTAGTTTCTTTGTATTCTTTCGCTCGAGGAGACAAAGGGGCCCAGGTCTCAGCCTGTCTCAACCTCTTGGGGTCTTCCACCATCTACATCTTGCTATTCAAATTATTTACCCAACCAAAATAGTTCTCTCTCTAGCGGAGGTTCTGCTAATATTTTCTCCATATTTTTCACAAGCAAATAATACAGTTTCAATTGTGCAGAAATGATTACCCTATGACGGCAGTGTCTAAGTCCTTCTCATCTTTGGATCGCTAGGGAAAGTATCCAGCATGGGCCTCTGCACACAGTAAACGATTCAATACGTATTCACTGACTTGCGAAAGCAAGCCCAGAAGGAGATGTTAAGCCGGTCACTTAAACAGCACAGAATGCGAATGGGATGGAATTAGCAGAGTAGACCTGCAGAGGCGGTGGGACAAGATCCAAAGAGATGGAACAGAATAATGTAAAGGAAGGCCAAGAGCTTTGCAATCAGGGCAGAGGAGCTAGAACGCAAATACAGGGTGCACACAGACAGACAGAGGTAGCGGTTCAACCTCAAGGGAAGGTCAGGTTAGAAGTGGGTATTGGGATTACTTCACCCCACCCACGACAGCAAACCAAACTGGAGGATCTGGGTGGTGTGCCGTTTCAGTGAAGGCCCTTGAAGCAACCAGGGACCAACTAGACAACAGGATACACACTATTTTAACAGAGGGAATATAATGTTCAGGAGTGGTTCTTCAAGGGGAGTCCCCAGACCAGCAGCACCTGCATCACCTGGGATCTTGATAGAAAAGCAAATTCTCCAGCTTCACCCCAGACCGCCTGAATCAGAAACTCTCGAGTAGGGCCCAGCCATCTGTTTCACCAAGCCCTCCAGGTAATTCTGATGCAAGTTCAGGTTTGAGAACCAGGGCTATAGGGAGTTGATTAAATAGACGTTGGAGGACTGAAAAACAAGGAGACGCTGAGGTAACTCAGAGATGGCCATGTCACAAAGCAGTGGCCAGCCCTAGGGCTAGGGAACCCAGGGAAGCGTTTAGTGTTACCAGAACCCAGAGGCTTAAGGAGAGGCCGCGGGGCACTGGGTCTCAGACCTCTGAGGAGGTGGCACTGTCATGTGACAGCAGCAGGCAGCTCTGGCAATGTGGAAAGGGCTTGGGAACTCCTCAGCTGAGGCCCAGAGAAGTGCTACCTCATGGCAAGGCCAGCCAGACCTTCCTCCCCTGCCCTGGTATCCTCCCTGTTGGTAGGACTGGGGCAGGTGACAAGGCAGAACCAGAGTGGGGGGAGTCTGCACCCAGCATCACAAAGCACAGAAAAGAAGAGCTGGTTTGATGCCAAGACACCACCGCTTATTAAGTGGCACAGCCATCTCACACTCTGGCTTCTGGATGAAACTGAGAACAGCCCATTTGGAAGACAAATTATTTGACCGTTCTAACGGACGACCAAACTAACGGTATTTGAAAAGCAGGATGACTCAGAGAATGCAGACTTTAGTCCAAGTCCCAGATCTTATCTCGGCTTTTGGCCAAGTCTAGTGCAGAGAAAACCTGAGCACAGAAATATATGCGGGAACACAGGCCCTGGGCTCACACTGTACTGTATTTATCCTTGAACTTGTTGCAAAAGCAGGTGCTCAATAAAGGTCTGTGGACGAGGGAAGGAAGAGAGAGGGAGAAAGGAAAGAAGGAGCCAGCTCCAGATCTGCGTCTCACAGAGGATAAAGGCCTAGTGTTTCTAGATTATCTGTTTCTTTTAAAAATTCTTTTTTTTTTTTTTTTTTTTTTTGCGGTACGCGGGCCTCTCACTGTTGTGGCCTCTCCCGTTGCGGAGCACAGGCTCCGGACGCGCAGGCTCAGCGGCCATGGCTCACGGGCCCAGCCGCTCCGCGACATGTGGGATCTTCCCGGACCGGGGCACGAACCCGTGTCCCCGGCATCGGCAGGCGGACTCTCAACCACTGCGCCACCAGGGAAGCCCTAACTTTCTTATTTTTAAAATAAGAATTCTTATTTTTAAAAACCAGAATTTTCAACAATTTTTAAAAAACTGTGCCTGACAATGAAACATGTTTGAAGGTCAGATGGACTGACAGTTTGTGACCTCTAGAGGTAACAGGTCACTCTTCAATCATAGACTAACTACTTCATTCCCTTTGATCTACATATAGTCCCCATAAGCCCCTGGAGGCTTGGAAAAGTTTATCGAAAGTTGTAATATTCACAGAGACTCCAGCTTTAAACCCCACTCGTGGAAAGGTGGGGATTTCACGGCCCTTATCACAAACACTCGGAATGTGAGGCAATGAATCACACACTCAGAGGCCAGAGCCTGTATTGGGGGGGGGGTGTCCCTTAATGCCCGTGGGAGTCACACTTCACTAGAGACCTCCTTCCCCTGGGGCAGCTGTCTTCTGCTGAGCTTCCTCCCCCGTTTCTCTACCCCGGCGGCCTCCCTCATAGCCAGCAGAGAAAAACTCCTTCCTCCCTTTTCTTCTTCTCCTCCTACTCAGCCCTGGGTTCCCCAAGATGCCACCTTTCCTTGTGCTGATGTCACACCAGGGCTCTTTCTTCAGCTGTCTACCTCCCTGCTGGATGGGACCCCCAGGCTTGGCATCCTCCTTGGGGGGGAAGAGAAGGGAAAGGAGCTCTTCCGGCTTGTCTGGGACCTTGCATGCTGCCTAGAGTAACAATGCTGTGGGCATCTCCTTGAGTTCCCTGATGCACTGCAAGCCAGACCTCAGGGGGAGAAAAGGAAAAAGGGCGCCAACTTCTGGATGAGGTCAGCAACGGTTTGTCACCACAGCCTGCTTGTCCTTGCAGCCCAATATCCTGTGGCCCTCCTGGACCAGAAAAGTGCCTCTTCCACTTCTCACGGCCTTCAGTCTGGTTCACATTCCTCAGCCTTCTTCATGTAACTTTTCTTCCCACTATCATTGTTCCATGAAACCCACCCAAGTCAGTTAATTTGCTCTTTCTCATCTTGTCAATCATAACCCAGGCCTGAGAAGTCTTTCCCTGAGTTAGGATTTTAGTAATATCTTAAGGATCTCCCATGGTTCATTTTGGACAGTGATTCTCTTCCCGGACCACGCATTAGAATCACCAGAAGTAAGTTCCAAAAATACTGATGCTGGTCCCACATCACAAATTGGAGTCTCTGGGGGTGGAGCCTGGGCACTGGTCTTTTTTCTTTTTTTTTAAGGTTTCATAGGTAATAATTCTAATGTGTGACCAGTGTCAAGAACCACTGATACAGGTGCACTCATTTCATTTATTCAACAAACGCTGACTGAGTGCCACCACGTAGCAGCCATTATGAGAGGTACTGGTGTTACCACAACCCATCAG